ATGAATGGGTTGATGTGTATATAGATGAACATCGAAAGATATCCTTTCTGTCTGTCTGTCTCTTTATCTTCCTATCTAGGTGTTACGTGATTGATAGATATGGGTAGATAGACAGAGACAGATAGAAAAAGAGAGCTTTAGATAGAGATAGATAAACCTAGAAAGATGATCTGTCTATCCATCTTGATAGATAGATAGACTTTCTATTTTTATCTATCTATCTATCAAACGCTCTCTTTTTCTATCTGTCTCTCTGTCTATCCATCTCAGTCTTTCTATCTAAATAGCTAGATAAAGAGATGGATGGATAGATAGATGAATGTATATATAAAGGGAGGGCTATAGATAGATCTTTATCTAAATCTTCTTTCTATTTGTCTCTATCTATCTATATCTCTATATCTCTAAATAGATAGATGGATAAAGAGAGGGATATCGATTGAGAAAGCAAAAAAAAACAAAACAGAACAATATAGATAGATGGATAGATAGATGGATGGATGTAACTAACATTTGGAAAACATTGGTGTCATTCATATAATAATGTTGGCTGTCCCGTCCCTATTGTATATGCTGTATACTATACATATGGTACACGCACACATCTGGGACTCTAAACTAGCGCTAGTCAGAGGTCAGTCTCTCATTTTCTGTGTCGCAGGCCGTGGGTCAGCATCGTGCCGCTGTGTGGTCTCATTATTTCTATTAATAATGGCGCATAATGGCGCCTGTGGGTAGCCATTTTAACGCTTTAATTTAATACATGGAAATCCTGACAGCGGCTTTTTATCATGTCGGAAAACATGAAAATCTCTTTGCCTCCGGCATCCCCCGTTCCTGCGCTGCTTCGTCGCATGTGTCACAGGAACGTTCATTTTTATACTTGGCGGTCATGGTATACACTGTTCTGGGGGAATCCTAATGGATTGTTTTTTTTTTGTCATTGCATAATTTCTAATGAGTCGCATATTTATATGAATAGCTGTTTCAGACTGCTGACATGTAATTTGTAGGGGATGAATAATTGGATTGTTTCATAAAGTTACTGTAGCGGTTTTAATGCAGTCATATGTATTACATACGGCACTGGAAAGAAGAGCCATATGCAAAATGCTAGAACTCGGGAGAGCCAATCAAATTTCAGCTCGCTGTGACTGGGTCATTTTTTGTAGTCTTTTGCTCAATAATCCAGCATAACAAAAAGAGTATTGATTTGGTTGAATTGACTTGGACTTTCTTCCAGGGCTGAATTGTTCAGTTACAGTGAAAACCGTTGTTTATTGATTCTCTCCCTGGGTATTTCAATCGCTTTCGGAAATGTGCCATGCTTTTATCAAAATGATCGTTATCCAGAACAATCGTAATCATTGCGTGTATAGCTGTCATTCTTGCCAAAACAAATGGTTCATTTCTTTGGTCAATATATACAGTTCCGTTACACATTTGTGGATACCATCTTAGAAAACGGTGCTCTGTCTCTCTCTTACAACATCCTTCACTGTAATCAGAACAGGCAGCTGCTATGGGGATCTGTGGGTGGAAGGGGGCCCCATTAGGTTGTTGAGGCAAACGGAACATGTGAAGATAATACAGTACTGTGATTAAGGCCCCTTTCACAGGGGCTGATCAGGAGGGGATCTGTGCATGGATCCCCTCCTGATTTGAGCGGTATGGATCCAATGTTACCGTTGTGACATTCGTGTCCGTCCAGTTTCTTCCTGAAATAACCAGGACTCCATGTCAGTCTATGGGGAATCGGATATAAACGGACATGTAACAATTTACATCAAATTACCCCCAATCTGGCATGATCAGGTCCATGGAAACAGAACACTGTTCCGTTTGTTTTTCTGGACCTGGCCAGAGTCGGGGGTAACAGGTTTTAACGAACACCCATCCATGTACACACAGCTGTCCATAGACTAGCAACGGGCATCCGATTGGGTTTGCCTGGAAAAACTGACAGGTGGACCCGATCGGACCACCCATGTAAAAGAGGCCTAAGGGTTAGAGTGGTTGCAGTCGATGACAACTCTAATCCTCTGTAAAGTCTACAGTGCAGAGATGACTTCAGATACACAAGATGAGTTTTTGGGATCTTGCAACAGCTCAGAGAGAGAGATCATGGTGCTACGGGGCCCCATAATCTGGAGTTACAGCCATGAATACATCTTATAGGCTTTAGATTTATGTATTAAAAAAAACAATTAAAAGCCTTCGAAATCTTGTTTCGAGGAGCATATCCTTTTTTTCAGAACAAGGTTGTTACATGATGTCAACAGTCCTTTATCCAACTTAAAGTTCTAATCTACAAATTCCATATCCATAGGGTTTGATTTAGAGATATCCCTCATTGCATGGTACAGTGCGTTAATCGCACAGGACTGTGCTATTAACGCATGGTACTAGTGTGAACGGGCCCTCAAAAACACTGACATATATACACAACCACAGACATTCTCTCACACACACACACACTCCAAAAACATTTTTTTTCCTATTTTTAAGAACCACCCAGTCTCCTTACCTTACGAGAACTGGTGTGGATCCTCAGCCTGGGGTCCAGTGTGGGCTGCTGTGCTCTGCCTCCATGCATATGTGCATTGCTTGTACTGCTCCCTTGAGCGCCCTGTAGAGGTGCCGGGAGCCAGAATGTGATGTCACTCTAGTCCAGGCACCTCTACAGGGCACTCGAGGGAGCTGTAAGCAATGCATGTATGGATGGAGCTCCCTCTCGGCCATACCCCCACCCCACCTCAAGCTGATACTCGACACCATGTAGCATATTTTAAATGGCTGCTTGGCGTGAGAACTGACAGCGCTGTGCTAGAGGGAGGCTGAGGAACCTCTCACCAATAAAAGTGGAAGACATGCGGAAATCCACTGAACATGTAGTCGTGACCCACTTTTGGGTCACGACCCACCAGTTGGAAACCAAGGTTATAGAGTGTCACTTGAGGCTGCTGACGTCACATTCAAGATGGTGGCACCCATCAGCAGTCTTGGAGTTTTTGGATCTCTACACAAGGGAAACTTTAACAAATAAATGGAAAAAAAGATAAATGTACAAATAATCTTATGGGAAGATTTTTGTTAAAATGAATCATCTCTTTAAGTTAAATACTGCTGGCAGAAGGTCGGGGTGCCGTGATGTGTTTTATTGTTTTTGAGATCCAAAAGCTGGCTACAAATTGTATTTCAGATTGCTGTGTGTATGGCCAGAATAAGAATATAGCATTCATCCTGTAAGTCAAAATTCAGTAATCAGAAGTCAATCTTCACCAATTCGACCTTGGGGAAATCACTGGGGTTTACAGCTTTTTTTTTTGTCATCGTCATTTTTTTTAACATTGGTTTATTCAATAACCCCTAGAAAATTGTTATTTGCATGTTTTGTAGATTGTTTTTTTGCCCCTTCGGCTGGTGTTCCTTTCACTCCGCCAGTAACATGGCAGCACTGGCAAGGCGCTACGATATGATTAAATTCACAGATTAATAGAGGAGTTAATGAGCTCTCTTTGTGGCACTATCATGGGACCTTTGCTGCTTCATCTAAATTGATAATTGAATTTTAATTAAAATTGTATCATGCAGCTGAGATTTAATGAAGATGCCGTGTAACCTTAAGGGTACAGTGCCCAGGTACTCGAGTCTCTGTGAAACCCTGGAGGGAACCGGCTGCCACTTTTTCAAGTGTAGGACAGAGAAGACGTAGCGGTTCTTTGAGCGGAGCTGGATCTAAGAATGGCCCGCACCGCTTGGAACTGCTTTCACAGTACAGTATGGGGCGGGGAGGAGCGGCTGATTGAACGCTATGAAGAACCTGGAGTTCCTTTAGGACTTTTTGTAACTAAAATAAAAATAAGCCATATTCCACATTTTATTTTCTTGTGTGACATCATTGGGATAATTATGTTTGTAGAAAGTATAAAGGAATATACTTGGTGTTAGTAGATGGATTTCTTATGTAATTGTTGGTTCTGATATATGGATTGTCTCCCATTGGGGAAATGGAAATGTTCCTGGGCAGCCGCTGTCGGAATACAATAGCCAGACAGGAGATTCTTACATCTGCTTCAGTCCACAGCTGATCGAAACAAATGTATTGAGTTTGGACAGCTTAAAGAAGAACACTGGGCAGAAATTTTAGAGGTTCTTTTCTTCTTCATGCAACAAAAATAGCAGTTTAAAAAAAATATATTGTAGTCTATGAACCCCCCCCCCCCCCTTCCTCATTAAAGAAATTCCCTTTTGCTTCAAAGGCCTAATGCATTATGGTCACTAGACGGCACTGAAGAACATGGAAAACACTTATTCCCTAAGCTCCTCAGCTCCATCTAGTAGTTATAATGCGGACATTTCTGAATGTTACATTTGGCCTGAAAATTTTTTACTAAGAACATTAATTTTTGCTTCTATTCACACTGGACGAATGCTCACAGAGATTAGCAGGGTGAATGGCTCTGTGAATTATTTATAAATAAAATTCCAATATGGAAGATGACATTTGTGTGGTTTTTAAAGGCACGGCCCCTTTCAACTACCCTGGACCTGTTCTTGAGACACGCAAAAGCCCCTCGTAAGCCTCATTATAAATAAATGTGGTAGTACACAAATAATGATCAAATAAAAAAAAAAAAAAGTAATTTAAAAAAAAATAATTTTATTTTATGAACCCCCCCCCCCCCTTCCTCATTGAAGGAATTCCCTCTTGCTTCCAAGAGCCAATGAGCACACAAAGTGAGGAAACATCTAATTGCTTTATTTAAACAAACAAACATTTGGATGCAGCGATTTCCTTTGCTGCGTTCTCTTACCTGGTACGTGTCCCACACTTTGGTTACGCTGCTCGGGAGGGTGAGAGAATAGGAGAGAGAATTTAACTTGATGCTATTGGAAACATACAGAGTAGATTACCATCAGGAACACAGATGGTTTATTGTGTCATCGATATCCCTGTGATCGCTTAATTCATTTATTGTTATTGATTTCTCTTGCAGGAGCAAAGCGACTAACCAACCGAGCAACTTTGTGGTATGTGCCACTGTCTCTGACCAACGTGGACAAAGTCACCGAAGTTCCGCCAATCCAGGTAATTGTGTGAAGCTGAGGGTTCTACTTTATTATTTTACTAAACTGTATTTTGGACATATAATGGATCATAGCTGTTCAGACCACCTGCTCCCCACAGCTGCTAGGTAGCAGTACTGCCTAACTTTTATTGAAGATTTTATGTGAATTTTCACAGATTATTAAATTAAAATCACAGGCCAGTAATACATTTAAATCACTGGCCAGTACTAAATAAGTCACGGGACAGTACAAAATTAAAATCACAGACCAGTACTAAATTAAAATCACAGACCAGTATTAAAATAAAATGCTGCTTGTGAGTGGCTTTTGCAGCTTTATTACATCTGATTGCAGAGAAGGTAACTAAGGGCCAGAGCCATCCCTGTCCTTTTCAAGAGTACCGATAATGATGACAAATGGAGTCCCTGTTGTGTCATATATCTTATACCTCATTATGGCTTCTGCTAATCTCCATATACTGTATAAGGGAGTACTGTATTGTTGTCTTGGCACTTCTGTCTGGAATCAACATGTAACTGAAACATGTTACATATTATACATAACAATATGTCTAATAACACACAATTGTAATTGTATCATAAGAAGGAAATTGATTTATATGTCCCATTGTCAGTACCCCAGAGACAGGACCACATAGGACTCCGGGCAGATATAAAAGACACATTCATACAGTTTTGTAATAATTAATACATCATTAAATGTATTTTCTTTAATGTAATCAGTAACTGAATTTGAGATGGTCTCAGTCTTTTCCCTCTACAGCAGAGCTGAGAGAGAGGGATGAAAAAGGAAAACAAGGAGACATTCAGTTGTATTGCAGTAGAAGGAGTATGCTAAAAGGAGAAGAGAGCAGAGAGTCAGAGAGATGAGCTCATCCACCTGCTGCTTTTTCTTTCACTGTCCAATCATAGGTTGGGAAGGGGACCTGTAAGTGAAAAAGAAACTGCAGCAGAGAAAGATCAGGTTGTCTCCTCTATCATATATAGATATCTATATATAGATATCTATGTATAGATACCTAGTTGTGACCATTCCCAGGGCTGGTGGTGGCATAAGGGGGAACTTGAAGAGCCGCGGGCGAGGTGGGAGGGAATCAGCGGTGCCAACAAAGTCCGCACTAGAGGAAGCGAGGCGTCAGCGGAGGGAGCAGAGCCGCATAAGCCGATGCTTCCTCTATAGTGCCGGCTCCTGTCACTGGCGGAGTGATACCAAATGCACTCCACCTGTGAGGAATCGATAGTGAAAGTAAGTTTCGCTCATTTTGGCCAGCGATTGGTTACCAAATTGCTCTTGGAAAGGTACGGCACCCCTGATAGCCCTCATCACCCTATTCTTAACTTTGCCATTTTGGATTATTTAATTTGGATTTGCAATAACTTTGGATTGTTGTACATTAAAAAAAAAAAAAAAGTAAGACCTAGTGTGTTTTTTTTGAGCCAAAAAAAAATATAAGACGGTGTCTTATTTTCGGGGAAACATGGTAGGTGTGTGTGTGTGTGTGTGTGTGTGTGTGTATGTATGGAATTTTGTTTTATTTATTATTTTCTATGTCCCACTGTCAGTACTAGTATAAATCATATATATCCTATAGGTAGGACCACATGACGCTTCTTAAAACCTGCAGCTCCATATATATTTGCAAATGTGTGCAGCCGAGACCTCTGTTTTTATAAATTGATACCAGGATTAGGAGTCTTCATGACTAATTGCACTGAAGGCTGGGCGATTTGTATATTTTCTGTTGTTCTCAAAGGGGATTTCAGCAGCTGATGTTCATTTGTGCTCCTTGGAGCCGTAATATCCATTAAGACCAGAAAAGGGCACCGTGGAAGGAAGGGCACATCGGAGAGAAGGAGCTCTCATTATATATCATTGAGAATATGAAGAATTCTCAGAAAATATGGTGTAGAGCAAGGAAAAACAGGAAACTGGGGAGCCATATTTCTTAGCATTGACACATTGGGCTCTCAACCTTTTGGACGTGATTCACAGCGGTGCCAATCTCCATGGCGGCTTTACCGTAAATGGAGATTAGAGAATGTTTGGAAAATTCTCTGGGTAGAGAAGATTGGAGAATGGCTTTGAAATAAATCCTCGTGTAGCAGCTGCTAGGAAAGATCTGTAAATTGGCAGATGCATTGCTCCTAACACAGTAAATACTTCAGACGCTAAGGAGTCTCTGGGGATAAAACGGAGGACAATTATGTAACCGGTGTCAGGGTAATGGTGTCTCCTTAAAGGAAAGCAATAGGGGGAAAAAAACAGGAAAGCTGATCTCCGGTCTTCCTTTCAGGCTTGTTGAGTTGTACCGGCTCCTCTCCTGGACTGGATTTGCTTACTCTGATTTTGCTGCACACTGCAAGCTTCTCATACTGCGCATTACAAGCTGCAGCAAGTCAGATAGAGCCCGCCTCATTTCCTGGCTGGAGGACATCCAGCATCATCTAACTCTTTTTTACCCAGTCTGACTGTCCCTGACGTGCCCCCTTCATTCATTGGATTTCAGTTCTTTCAATCATAGAGGCTCAGCATCAGATGTGGGTGTTACCTAGGGGGGTCTGCATGCGCACAAAGCCTGCCTAGGAACACCCATTCCTCCAGACTGACATCTACCCATCAAGGAATCTTTGTATTTGCATAATTTCACTCCATAGCCTTATATCACCGCTCCTTCACAGCAGCACCAGGGAGAATTGCGGGTTCATGCAGGCTGAGCCCACCTTGCTCCTGCATCAGCAGTGATGGTACTCACAAAGTCCGGTTGCATATTGTAAGCTTTGCTGCAATTTTTTATTGTAGCACACAGGTACACATCCTTGAAATCCTTTCAGGAGCCAGTCCACTACTTGCATCAGGGCAGAGGACTCTTGAGAAGAGTACTTAGGCAGGGTTTTGGGATGGTTTCAGGAAACTTTCAGGGTTTTGGCCACCGAAGCCTTTCTGTACCGTCGAACCCAAGAGCTGCTGCACGGGCTATTCACCATAGCCTGTACAGCAGCCAAGCTGAACCCGTATGCCTTCAGCTCGGCTGAGCCGCAGTGACAGGCGAAGCATGGAGAACTGGCGGCCGAAGCCGACTGATCTCCACGCAAATGACAGCTGGGCAGAGCCAGCCGTGATCTCAGGGCTCGCTACACCCAGTTGTGATGACACCCCAAATGACCTGGAGACGCTGATCTGTCATTAAACAATAACAACTGGGCGGAGCTGGCCGTGACGTCACGTCCGGCTGCGGCCAGTTATTTATTGCCCAGGATCTGCTAGAAGGCTCTGGCAGGTGCCGGCCAATAGAAAACAGTTGGGGCGGAGCTAGCAGTGATGTCACTGCTAGTGCCACTCAATTGTTTATATTTTGCCGGCATCTGTCAGATTTAACATTATGCAGCGGGAGTTCGTCGCGTGCGGTCGGGTCGGTGTGCATAGTTTTTTTTTTTTTCTTTAAAATATTTTTACTATTAACTTTTTTCTAAACATTTTCGTATTTTTTTACACTTTTAAAAATGAATTTTTAAACTTTTTTTTTTTTTCATTTATTTACATTTCTTTCTATTCTGCTCGGTACCCCGGAGGTAACGAGCAGAATAGCCAAGCCGAATGCCGCTATGAGAATAGGGGCGAACGGCAGCAAGAAAGTTGCCGGAGCTTCGGCTCAGCCGATCCAGATGTTGGATCGGCTGAGTCGACCTCCTTCTTCGGCGATGTACGGCTGATTCAGCCGTACGAGGCGGAAGCGAATAGCCGAACAGCATTCGGCTCACTTCACTTCGAGTCGGTTATTCGGTGAATAACCCCCTATGCAAAGCACCCAACCAACCAACCCCTCCCACCGCCATTATCTCCCTGGATTACTTAGGCTGGGTTCACACCTAGGCGGATTGAATATGCACGTTTTTCGCGCGTTTTTTTTACCGCGATTCGCGGTTAAAAAAACCGCGCGAAAAACGCGCGTTTCCGAGGGATACTTGGCTGTATCCCAATGGAACCGCCCGACCAAAACGCCCCAAAGAAGTACATGTACTTCTTTGGGCGTAGGGCGGTTTCCCGCACGTTCGTACTCGCGGAAAACCGCCCAGATGGGAACCATGCACATTGAAAATAATGGCATTTCCCTGTTTGAGCGTTTTTCCGCGAGTACTAAAGCGCGGAAAAACGCCTAGGTGTGAACCCAGCCTTAGAGAAGCACAGAGACATAAACAGAGGTACAATTCGATAAAGACGAGTGATGAGTTTGGGCTTGGTACAAACCCAGTTCAACTGAGTTCTCCGAACCTTGCTCAAAACTGTCCTCAACATCCACCCCCCACCTGGCCCAATCAGTGACAGCATTTGCAGTGGGGGCATTCCCTGCTCCTTTGTGACGTGTAGCTGCGGGGTTGGGAAAGCACCTACCGCAATGGATTGAGCTGGGAGGGTGGTGTGTTGGTCACAGTTTCGAGCAGGCTCAGGCGAACTGGGTTCACATCAAGCCCCAACTCATTACAAATAAGGACTATAGGCAGGAAAACACATACAAATGAATTACTCTATCTGTAAAAACATTTGTAAAGGAATACTTGTACTTGGGGTCTACCCCTTCTTTCCCTTCAAGCTATATAACAGCATATTATAAGTGGGAAAATGCATTTCAGAGTCTTCAGACTGTGCCACTGCTCCGCCTCCTGCCTGCTTTTGCATTATTTAGTGCACTAGTAAGAACCACCTTGAGAACCTGGGTACCTGCTCTTGCTTACAGGGCGACCATTAGCACTTAAAGTGTATGTCTGGGCAAAGACATATTCAGTACACTTCATTGCACATTTCTCTGTTTTGTCCTGTTGATGTTGCCAGAAATCCAGTAAGCTCCAATGTTCCTGTACTGAGTTGACAAACACAACTTCTACAGCACTGAAATCCCAAGCTGCGTTGTCATCTAATTAAAAGTCTTGTCTGGAATCCCACTTTAAATGGCGCCGTATTCAAGCACACATTATTTAGGTGACATTCACCTGTCTGGATTGC